ATTCTAGATGGACCCTTAAGGTGATTAGCAAACATATTCACGATACTGCTTCATTCTTTGGTTTTCTTTTTCTTCTGGTCTTTTACTGTGGTTTTGTATGAATGCTGTTGAGAGTAGAGGTGGCAATTGGATCGGATTCGTGGATTCGTGGATTGGATTGGTAGATCCATGGATCAAATGGATTGGATCCAATGGATTGGTGATTCATGGATTGGATCAAATGGATTGGTGGATTGATCCATGAATCCAAATGACATCCAACGCTTGGACAAAAATGTAAAATTTGAAAAGTTTTGGTACTAAAATGTCATAATGAAAAATTTTAGGTACCAAAATGTAATTTTCCAATGATATTTTTCGTATAAAATATCAATTTTAGGTACCAAAATATAAAATATAAAAATATAGGTACCAAATCGTAATTTGCCATCTAGATCCATGGATTGATCCATGAATCTAGGGGTGGGCAACGGGACGGGACGGGATACCCGTCCCGTTTTAAACGGGTACCCAGTCCCATTTGGAGACCAAAGTCCATCCCATATCCCAAACCCATATGGGAAACGGGTACCCATTACCCGTACGGGACGGATAACGGGTACCCATACTACCCATAAATACCCAAAGTTTAAACCACTAAAATTTTAACAAAAGTTTAAACTTAACTTGTATTTGCTTAACAATCACAAGACACAAAATACATCCCAATCACAAATACTTGGTTTGCAAATTATACATTCATGAACAATCACAACACATAGAAATAAATCATTTCAAGTATCAAATTATCAAAAAAAAAGTTTCATTCAACACATCACAACCCTCTCTACTAATTCACCAAACATGTCAGTGAAAGAGTGAAAGGGTAAGGGCCCAAATGGAATTGAAATTGAAAGGGTAAGGGCCGAAATGGCCAATGGGTTTTGAATTGGGTTGGGCTGAATTAAATTTCTGCATTTGTTTTGAATGGGTATAACGGGTACCCATATTACCCAAACGGGTATTCGCGGGTAACCCGCGGGTACCCATATTAGGAATGTACAATCCCAAGTCCCATCTGTTTATAATATTACGGGTAATATGGGTACCCGTAACCCTTAAAAAACGGGACGGGTACGGGTATACCCAAATACCCGTTTCCCGTTGCCCACCCCTAGGGGTGTTCAAATGGTTACCATGGTTATAACCAAACCAAATAAGGCTAAATTCCATTAACCATGGAATACAATATCATACCAAACCGTCCAAACTAATACAACAACCAAATTAACCAAACTAAAGTTTAATCGGTTTGGTTAATTGGTTAACCAGAATAACCAATATAAAATCACATTATCATTGATGATGAAAATTTTCCGGTTAATGCAACAATTCGCAATTTATATAATGAACAAAACATAACAATCAACACGTAGTTATAGTTGACCCTTAACAAAAATACACGCAACTAAGACAATTATCTTACGATTAGTATAGAAATATTCACCTAACAAAAATTTATGACAATGGTATGGGTTAATGAATTGTTGTGTTTGTGTAAATTGATTTGGTCTCTTAGCAATTATCATAGGAGGGAAAACCTTCCTTTCAAGTTTTCATCCATCATAATGTATGAAATTTATCTAAATTAGGCGTCCATATGTTGTGGTCTACACTTTACATATACAAATATATACTATATGAGCAATATTGAGCTTTATATTTTATATGAGTCTAAAAGGGATGAACGTTAAATTTTGAGTGGTTATGCAAAGTATTAAGTATGTGTATATAATATATGTTAGATATATGACTAATTAATTAACTGGTTAATTTGGTTTGACTGGTTAGGAGTGTGTGAAACCAAACCACATAAACCAAACAAGCTAAAAACTTTAACCAAACCAAACCAATTATCCAAATTAACCAAACCAAATTATCCAAATAGTACCGGTTAAAACGATTACCACGGTAACCAAACCGTTTGAACACCCCTACCCACCCCTACATGAATCCACCAATCCAATTGGATTGGATTTAAATGGATTGGATTAGGTGGATAATTTGGTGGATGGATTGGATTGGATTCATGGATTTGGATCCTAATTGCCACCTCTAGTTGAGAGCAATGGTGCTTCCAGATAGGTGCATTCAGCATGGATCACCTCAAAATCATATTCAAGAAGCGGGGCTTTCGTCGAAGCAAATTACTGCGACGGTGTTGTCGCTCTTGAGAAAGCCTAAGAAGCTATGCATTTCAAGTGAAATGCAAAGATGGAATGATGGAATCAACGGGAGGTAGTGAATCTGTAGTCTATTGCGTTATATCCAGAATAGTAGACTCACTTTTTGATAATATGAAGGATTAAAATACCGTATCGTACCGGCGGTTCTACCTGAAAAACCTCTTACTGAAAGCAAAACCGGTAGACGGTATTTAACGATAATACGATTGAACCATAGTTAAATCACGATTTTAGCATAAAATCCCTACTGCTGATTTTTCCGGTACGACCTCCAGGATATTTTAATCCTTGATATTAACTGATCTGTCCTCCCCCTCCAATTTTAGCCCAAGAAACTAGGATTATATGATTCTACCAATGGGCAAAAACTAAACTAAAATGAGATGCTTCTCGTCGCGTGAAACATTTGTTGTGGTCGAATAAATTGTGGACTGAAATGAAAATGCATTTTATTTATACTATATTGGTTGTGATGGCCCAGTAAGAAAAGCCCACTCATATCACCTAGTCAACGGGGGAATACGAACAACAAACAAAACATTATTCTAGTCAACTGAACAACCTCTCTTTCAATTTCTCAAACGTGAACCCCTCTACCTCTCTCGGGCTCCAGCGTCCCCTTCATTTGCAGGCCTCGGCCCATTATTATTGTTGTTATCAGCATCGTTGTCATTGCCGTCTCCGACCGCCGGCGGTGGAACAGAGAACTCCTTCACCATTGCCTCAAAATAGAACTTGAACGCACCAAGGAAAAGGCAGGATGCGACGATAGCGAATAGGCCATAGGGAGGCAGATTCTTCCTTATCTTGATGCCATATACCACCAGGGCCGTAAGGAGGCCGTTTATGACGTTCAAATCAGAGGAAGGCCTCAATACAAGGATGTGCGCCGTCGCCAGAAAGATGAGGAGAAGCAACATCATTGGAAAAGCAAACTCAGCCTCAGGAAGAAAATTATACCAACCATTGCACAAAATCAGCAAAGGCAAACCTAGCATCTTCACTGGCCATGGGAAATCAAGCTGGAGCCAGGTGGCTTTCAGCCTCCAGCGGTGGATCTTCTTGAAGTAAATAACCAACCAGATGAAGAACACAAATGCAAGAACAGCCCATCCCCAAAGCCACTTTCCCCCCTTAAATTTCTTCTGGTAGAAGTTGGTGCCGTTGAAGGCTAAGATGTGGAGGATGAACATTAGGATGCATACCAGGAACCAGAATGCCGAGTCCGACACCTTGAGAAACACGAATCGGAACGGGACGCCTCCGAGCAGGTTGAGCCTGCGGTGAAGCGGAGGACGGGCAGGAGGATCAACGGGATCAGCATTAGGAATCTGAAACGTTGGCTTGAAAGTTGCATATCTTTTGAGTATGCCCAGAAATTTCCTCCAAACCGGAACAAGAGGACGATTGGGGAAGATTGTCGTCAAAATTCTCCTCCAAAATGGGACAGCGGGACGATTCGGATGAATGGCTATGCGAGGAGGAGGATTGGCATCCAGGGAACGCATTGGGGAACCTCGGCTGCTCATGGTTTCGAAATTGGAAATTGAAGAGGGTAATGCGTAGCAGAGTAGTGTGGAGTGGAGTGGAGGGCTCGCAGCTTGGCCTCTGTCTGTTTTATAGAGTGAATGAAGCAGAGAGTGAAAACTTGGAGAGCAATCCAATAATCATTGCACAGCTGTAAGACAACGGTTGGATGAAGGAGGGAATTTGTTATTGGGTGAATGGGCGCAGGTTTACGGTTACAGGGGTCTCGAAATTCTCCTAGCCCCCACATGGTTTGATTGATCTGCCGATTGCAAAAACAACACTCTGTTTGGGGGGAATTGGTGTAGCAGAAAGAAGAAGAGAAGAGAAGAGCTGAAATAATATCCCCTCCCCAAACAATTTGTTACCCACGTGGAGAAGGGGCTCTGATACTGATAGTGGGGGAAGGAAATCGGATTCCTAGGGGAAGAGAAGAGAAGAAGACGAAGGCACATGAGAGGAGAGGGGAATTTTTTTTTTTTTTTTCTTCTTCTTCTTCTTCTCTGTCTCTTCCTCTACCAATTTCGAACCAGGGTGGCGGATCCAGCGGCACAATAACATTTGCACCTAGCTTTCTCGCCAACAGGTCACTGAAGGATCAGTCATGACTCATGAGAGGGGAATTTAAGCTCTGCAAAGAAGAAGATGGTATTGACCTAATGGACCTGGATGAGATGGGCTTAAACCCAAAACATACCCACAGGCCTTGAAGAGTATTAGCTTGAGTTATGGAAATTGGAAGGACCTACAGTATGTGGGTTATATGTTTGGTCGTTATTTATTAATTTATTTCACATTTCTTACTAGTCATTGACTATAAACCTCAATTTATCATTGAGCATTGGCCTTCCAATTCCGTAAAATCCATTGAATGTGATAATCAATTTTATAATTTAACCGTTAATATCTTAGGTTTATAGTATCGGACGATGGGCGCAGGGCGCCACGTAAATCGTAATGGACCAAGACTTCCTACTTCTTCATTGTTGCCAGATTCGAATCCACCAATTCCGGAGTTGTAATGGTGCTCATTGCTTTGATAGAGTGAGCGACATAGGGGAAGAGGCGGGAGATTGGTAGCCTTAATTTTGAATGTGAAGGAGCGAGTGAGAACAACAATAGGATAAAATTTATTTTTGGAAAGTTCAGACGAAGATACTAGTATAATTAAACAAGTAAAATGATGATGTATTGTGAATTTGACACTCAGTAACAACTAGGAACCCTATAACACTCTGTAACGGTAGCCAATTTTGCAATGACATCCATTTTGGAATGCAAGGAAGCAATTCTTGTGCACTTTAAACAATCGTACCAAAAAACACATCCCCTAGTTGCTAGCTCATGAAAATTTCCTCCCATAGCCAAAGAAACAAACATACACCAAGAATTCCGCCATCGAAAGGATAATAGAAAATGCAAATAAGGAAACAGACCGCTCCCATCTCTGATACTCCTGATCAAATATTGTTCCCAACAACAAAATAACACCCAACTAACGATTACGCATTACATATGAAACCTTCGGAGATCACCAGAGAAATTCGCCGCCACCTTTTCTCTCCTCCCTTATCCCTCGTACTCTTCGGGCTCCTCCTCGTACTCCCCTTCATCATCCGCAGTCGCATCCTGGTACTGCTGGTACTCTGCCACCAGATCATTCATGTTGCTCTCTGCCTCAGTGAACTCCATCTCGTCCATCCCTTCCCCGGTGTACCAATGCAAGAAGGCCTTCCTCCTAAACATAGCTGTGAACTGCTCGCTCACCCTCCTGAACATCTCCTGGATGGAAGTCGAGTTCCCGACGAAAGTGGAGGCCATCTTCAACCCCCTGGGTGGGATGTCGCACACAGATGACTTCACGTTGTTGGGGATCCACTCAACAAAGTAGGACGAGTTCTTGTTCTGGACGTTGATCATCTGCTCATCAACTTCCTTCGTGCTCATCTTGCCACGGAACATGGCTGAAGCAGTCAGGTATCGGCCGTGGCGAGGGTCAGCAGCGCACATCATGTTCTTGGCGTCCCACATTTGCTGAGTCAGCTCAGGGACGGTGAGGGAGATGTACTGCTGTGATCCACGGGAGGTGAGAGGGGCAAATCCGACCATGAAGAAGTGGAGGCGGGGGAATGGGATGAGGTTCACGGCAAGTTTCCTGAGGTCGGAGTTGAGCTGACCGGGGAAACGGAGGCAGCATGTTACTCCGCTCATGGTTGCTGAGATCAAGTGGTTCAAGTCTCCAACTGCAATATCAAAAGTCAGTGTTAGTTTACTTTAGAACATACAGCACTGATGAGTGACGATACTAAAACTTACAGCTTGGAGTGCTGAGCTTGAGAGTACGGAAGCAAATGTCGTAAAGTGCTTCATTGTCAAGGACCATGCATTCGTCAGCATTTTCAACCAACTGATGGACAGAGAGGGTTGCGTTGTAGGGCTCCACGACGGTATCTGAGACCTTGGGTGACGGGAAGACCGAGAATGTGAGCATCATCCTGTCAGGATACTCCTCTCTGATCTTAGAGATCAGAAGGGTTCCCATGCCAGAACCTGTGCCTCCTCCAAGTGAATGGCATACCTGAAAGCCTGGTAAAGAAAATAAGTTAGTCTATTTATTACCATAGACAGCATCTAAGCCTAAAGTCCAGTAGTTAGGATTGGACAAGTGAATGGAATGCCAAATCAGCCATTAACATCGAAACATAAGCATCAGAATCTTAGATCCAAAAGCAATGGACCACCAAGATAAAAGCAATGTACTAAAGTCATAATCAACAAACCAGGGACAATGACAGATGTTACTTTACTTCTACAGAATAATGAGAACCCAGATCTATCCTATGATGATCCATTCCTACTTTTCTCCTGTAACAGCATGCTAAAAGGTGAAAAGAGGTAATAGATGCGAGTGGGTGGTGTTGTTGGAATTGGGCAATCCCCCGCAATCATGCAGCGGTGAAACTTAGACATTATCATAAATTTCATCTCTAGATCTGTTCAAAGCAACTCTAGTCATGTAGTTTGGAGAGAGACCACAAAAAAGAATCTCCACGCCAGACAAAACATCTATGGTGGGGGCCATGCTCATATAGCTCACGTCCTCTATGAAGAAAAGTTCTGGCTAAAGAACAAACAATCAAGAAAAGGAATAACATGGAGCAGGGCAACCAGCAATTAACTTAATCATTCAAAGAGAGCAAAATGACAGATTCACGAGAAAAAAAGGAGATATGAATGCCCTGTATGCTTGTTCGATTGCTGCAGCTTCCTTAGTAGCAAGCTCATGATTCACAGCATGAAAGATTCAACAAGGGTGGTGCTCTCAATTTCGCTAAGCAGTTCAAACGAAAACAAAAATTGTCTAACGAGATCCTATACTAGCGAGCCATTAAGATAGAATCAAGAACTAGGAATGAAATTTGCGTTAATCCATCCATCCAAACACAATGAACTTCATCCAATCAACACCATTCATAGCTATCCAAGAATTAAAATTCAGTTACGGTGGCGAATCTCCGCTCTACAGTTCGCAGACCTCAAACAAATCAATCCAAGTTAATGAAATTCGCATTCATTCATCCAGAAAAGAAACTCAAACGCCAGAACAGATCTGAGAAATGAGGGTAAAAATCAGAGGTCATTTCGTCATATACCTTGCAAGCAATCACAGTTCTCAGCCTCCTTGCGAACGACATCGAGGACGGAATCGATGAGCTCGGCTCCCTCAGTGTAATGACCTTTGGCCCAGTTGTTCCCGGCGCCGGACTGCCCGAAGACGAAGTTATCGGGGCGGAAGATCTGGCCGTAAGGACCAGATCTGATGCTGTCCATGGTTCCAGGCTCCAGATCCATGAGCACGGCACGAGGGACGTAGCGGCCGCCGGACGCCTCATTGTAGTAGACATTGATCCTCTCGAGCTGGAGATCCGAGGCCTCGTCGCCGTTGTACCTCCCGGTCGGGTCGACGCCGTGCTCATCGCATATGACCTCCCAGAACTTGGAGCCGATTTGGTTGCCGCACTGGCCGCCCTGGATGTGCAGGATTTCTCTCATTGTCGGATCTTAGGGTTTGTAGGAGAACACAGGAGGCCTACGGACGGAACAAAGGGCTGGGCCGAAGACGGTGGCCGGAGGATAAGGAGGTTGTTTGTATTAAAATCGAGAAAGGGAGGGAGCTGGGGGGAGAGAGAGAGAGGGAACCAAAGTGTGGATATATAGTAAAAAGGCTTTTTTGGGGGGAGTTGCTAAAGGTCGCCCTTAAAATTGCTAAAGGTCGCCCTAAAAAGAATAAAAGTTACACTTTTAACCCCCATAGCTTCTTTACCTTCCCTTCCTCAAACAAACATCACTTGGACTAAAAAAACACTCTCTAAGGAGAGAAAAATCTCTCATCGTCATTTTGAAGCCGATATCGTCGATAGGACGTCTGAATCATGAGTAGCGACTCCGACGAGGTAAGAACATGAACAAAAAAAAAAAAAAAAACAGAAAATGGGAACCGCGGGTGATTTGCGGTCCGACCATGGTCCAACCGCAAGTGACCTGCGGTTGAACCATGGCTGGACCGCAAATCACCTGCGGTTGAGCCATTGGTGGACCGCAATTGACCTGCGGTTGGACCATGGTCGGACCGCAAATCACCTGCGGTTCAGCCATGGTCCAACCGCAGGTCAATTGCGGTCCACCAATGGCTTAACCGCAGGTGATTTGCGGTCCGACCATGGTCAAACCGCAGGTCACTTGCGGTTGGGCATTTTTTGGTTTTTTTTTTTTTTTCGTTGAATAATTTTTTTTTTATATGATTTATGATTGTTCCATGAAATAATTTGTTGGGTTTTGATTTATATAATTTATTAGATTTATTTGCATAATTATTTTTGGAATTGAAGGATTTAGCATTAGAAATTAAGATTAGATTTTTGGAATTGAAGGATTTAGCATTAGAAATTAAGATTAGATTTGGCCTTAAATTAAGATTAGATTTAATTTGGTGTTAATCTAGAAAATTAAGATTAGATTTTGCATTACAAATTAAGATTAATATAATTTATTAGATTTATTGGGTTTTGATTAGATTTTTGGAATTGAAGGAATTAGCATTAGAAATTAAGATTAGATTTGGCCTTAAATTAAGATTAGATTTAATTTGGTGTTAATCTAGAAAATTAAGATTAGATTTTGCATTACAAATTAAGATTAAATTTATTGCATAAATAATAGATTCGCATATGAAGTTATGATGATTATTAATTTTAATACTGATAACATTGCAGGATATTGGAAGTTACAATCCGGATGGCCATGATTACACCTCGGATTTCATTGATGGCGTGAAATACACTACGGAGTTGCAAGCATATGAAGCAGCCATTGAGATTGCAAAGGGTTTTGGGTTTTATTTGGTGAGGGCATCGAACAAAAAAAATACGAATGAAGGTACTTGGCGACATTACTTACATTGCACTCATGGTAGGAAGAAGAAGTCGAAGGAACCTGATCCGAGTAAGGAAACGAGGCCTCTTACATCTACTGAAAAGTTGGGGTGCGAGTTTAAGATCAAGCTTGAGCGGTCAGGTGATGGATATTGGTTGATCCTAGGGGTGGCAAATACAAAGAATCCTGGTGCTAATTTGGGTTTCCACAATCATCAGTTGGAGCTATTTCCGGAGGGATCAAAGGGAAGGAATGTTTTGACTACAGAGGACAAGCAATACATCAGAGAGCTGAGATCAGCCGGTGTCCCACCAAGGAATATCCACAAGGCAGTGAATGACAGAAAAGGTGCAAATGGAACACACAACAGAAAGCAGATTTATAACGAGTGTCACAAGATAAGGAAAGAAGAGCTTGGTCAGATGACAGCCTTACAGTATACTTTCCGCATGGCGCAGGAGAAGGGTTACTATGTGCAGTATATGGACGATCGTAACGTGCTTACACACTTGTTCCTAGCCCACCCCGAGTCAATATTGATGTTGCGAGCTTGGCACCATGTGATCGTGATAGATGCAACATACAAGACCAACAAGTATGATATGCCTTGGGTTGAGATTGTCGGCATGACACCAGTGGGATTGAACTTTGTCATTGCATCTGCAATAGTGTACGACGAGACGAAGGAGTCGTACCAGTGGCTTCTGACGCATTTGCAACATCTTCTTGGCCCCATTGTTCCAGATGTGTTTGTCAGTGACAAGGCAGGAGGATTGGTTGAGACCGTGGGGGTAATGTTTCCATCATCGACTCATATTTTATGTCTTTGGCATATGGATAGGAATGTGAGAGCAAAGTGTCTAACGGAGGTGCGAAGGACGACTCATTGTGGTATAGATGCAGCCAAACCGACAGTGGATCAGATCATGGCGTCTTGGCAACGTGCTGTATATGCATTGACAGTGGAAGACATGGATACTGCCTTAGAGAATTTCAGACGTGGTTGGGGAGTACAGTACCGACGTCTTTGGGGGTATATGACAGCTGAGTGGTTACCAGTTAGACACATGTGGGCTAAATGTTATACCAATCAACTGCGGCATTTGGGTAACACAAGCTCTAATAGGGTTGAAGCTGCCCATTCCTCCTTCAAGAAGTGGCTTCAATCATCTACTGGCGCAGTCGACACGGTTAGTAATCTAATAAATCTTTATTGATACACACATAAGTTTTAGTAGTTTCCTAATTGTTCTTCATTGTTTGTAGGTATACAAGAAGAACGATGATTACATTGAGGCTCAACACCTTCAAATCAGGAAGCTGCTGGAGGATTCCCGACAAAAGAAGCTGCTCCGAGCGGATGGAAAACCATTTCGAGAGTTGAATACGAAAGTCACTCTAGAAGCTCTGAGGTTGATGTTGTTCGAGGTAGCAGTGGAAGGGGAACCTTGTACATGTACGTTTCTTCCTACCTATGGTCTCCCATGTAGATGTTCCATTCAGTTAGCACGACGTGAAAATCGGGATTTCGCCTTGTATGATGTGTTGCCATTCTGGACCGTTATCAACTATCGTGAACCTCCTACTCGGCCGGAGTGGGATGACCATAGTGATTACCACCGTGGTGTGTTCCAAGGTCTAGTACAGGAGGTTCTTGATAGAGGCGACGAGACCATTCGAGGTGCAATCGGCCTACTCCGGAGCCATCTTCATCCTGAAAATGATGGCATTGATGAACCGCATGGGGGACAGCCCCGCCCCGGTCGCCCAAGGACGTCCACCACTCGAAACCTGTCTCACTTCGAGCATGTGGAGAGGAGACGAGGGAGGAGAAGTTCAAGACTTCCGACTGCAACTCCGGACAATGATGGAAATACAGGTAGATTAACTTTTTCTTTTAGTTGTGTTCAATTGTCCTCAATATGGTGTACAACTAATCTATTTATTTTAAATGAGATAGGTGGTGCCCCGAATGTGAATGCACAAACCAACTTCGAGGATGAGACGGAGCCGATCCATAATGATACAGGTTAGAAATTATATTCCTAATTTCGGGTAAACATATAGTGTAACTCTTTGTATTAATTTATCGTGTTATGCTCTTTGGCTAGATGGTGCACCGAATGGGAATGCACAAACCAACTTCGAGAATGGGACGGAGCCGGTGATCCATAATGATACAGGTTAGAAATTATATTCCTAATTTCGGGTAAACATATAGTGTAACTCTTTGTATTAATTTATCGTGTTATGCTCTTTGGCTAGATGGTGCCCCGTGGAGGGTTGCTCGGATTCCCAATACTAGTTGGAAGAATTACCCATGGCTACATTGTTTGGAATCCTACGTGCAACGACTAGTTCGTGGTTGGTTCAACCCTATTCCAGATGGACACTGTGGATTTCGAGCTATATCACAAGCAGCTACTGGGGACCAAAGGAATTGGCCACAAATGAGACGCGCTGTTCTAGAGGAGCTTGAATCCCGTCCTGAGCTTTATAGAGCCTACTATGATGGAATAGCAAATGGAATAGAAGATGGCATTCGACGTTGCAGGTGGGCATCAACAAGTGGCTGTGGACCTTTCAACTGGATGGATAATGCGGAACTCTTCGTCTTCGCCACCTTGCATTCATGGGCCATCGTTGTATACAGTCAAGGCGGTCGTTATACCGTGCTACCTGTGACGGCCCCACCAGGAGTAACAAGACCACGTGGGATCTTATCACTACATTTTACGGGGGATCATTGGGTGCGACTTGACTTTCGACATGGTCAAGTGCCCATGCCTCCAATTAACTACCTTTGGCCTATTTATCATGACCCTAGTGTCAATGGGTGGGATCAATTCTTCTTACATGAGCGTGCGCTTTATGATAGATTGAACCCACGGGGATGAATTGTATAACTCTCTATTGTATAACTCTCTATTTACGAATTGTATAACTCTCTATTGTTGAAACATTTAGTAATCTACCATGTTGATTAACTATTTTAGCAATGCATTGAATGTAACTAAAGTAAAAAAACACACAACCGTCTCAATTAAACTACAAACGATGACAAATAAAACACACAATAGTCATAGTTCAACTACAAACGATGACAAATAAAACACACAATAGTCTCAGTTCAACTACAAACGATGACAAATAAAAACACAATCGTCTACTGAGGCGGCTGCCCTACCAACTGATCGTACAACTCGAAAACTCCAGCTGCCATATCATAGAGCTTACCACCGTCCTCCTCCCACTTACTCCGGTCCCTCGTCTGCAACAAGGGGCCTAAACGATCCACAATCTGCTCTCTCAACTGTAAATAGAAAACAATGTTAGAATAAATAACAAATGTCCTTTATATTTGGAAAAGCAAAAGAAAGTCATAACTAACCTGATGAACTAGTAGTGGTCGAGGCTGAGGCTCCTCATCAGTGGGGTGGGTGATCCGTGGGTGCGATCTAGTCAGAAACCAGTCAACGTACTCCTCCACGATCTCCGATGGCTGCTCGCACGGCCGAGAAGCAAAATCCAACTCTAGACGACGAGCTGCCACGTTATTCCACAACTGATTCACCCACGGATCCCAAAAGACTATGTAACTGCTGCCGGAAGCCGGACGGTAATGGTCATGTGGTACCGTCATAGCAGCGGGGATAATCTGTCGGTATCCAAACTGGCGCAGACAACGTGAAGGATCGTATCCCTCAGCAATGTCAGAAAAGCGAATGGGGCCAGTATACAAGGAGCGGGGTATATC